TATCCACTGCAGCACAGTTGTTAATAACAAAAGATCAGAAACAAAATAAATGTACAGCAACAGGTGGCTAGTAAAATAAATTACAGTAAGTTCACATATAGGAATACCCTGAGGTTTGGAAAATAATGAGGGGGATCTACAAGCGATAATATAGAGCAATCTCCTAGATAAGTTAAGCTAAAAATAATACAGTGACAACAAACTGAAACAATAGACAGCTTACACAAAAGAAAATATATACATATACACTATATGTATATATTTATTTGCATATATACAGACTATTACTGGAAATACACACAAGAAACTGGCAAGAATGACTGCCTCTGGGAAAGCAAATGAAGGCCTAAAGCAGAAAGGAGACTTTACTAGCATTGTTTGAATTTTTTTAAACATGAATTTATATTGGCTTTTTAATTTACTAACTATAAAACCTATGTCCCAAATTCTGAGCCTCAGTATCCTCCAATTTGAAATGACAATAATAATAGCCTAGTTCATAGGTTATGCTTTGTATTATAAAGCAGCACACAAAATTATAAATTAGTCCTCTAACTGAATTGTCCAAATTAATTAAAATAATTATTATCATTCCTCTGATCAATTTCTCTAAATTCAAATATGAGAATGTTTAAGAGGAAAACTAAGTGTAAATGCAATCTTAGAACACAAAGCTTTACTTTACACAGTTACTGTGTATGCAATTTAAATGAGTAACTTTTCAAAATGCCAAACAGAAACACTAAATCAGTTGATTACAGAAGGAATATATTCTCACTGTTGAAAACAAGGTAGATTAAAAACTACAACCATGCTATTATAAAATTTTAGTTTTTTTCTTCCAGTCCTTTTTCTACAAATGCTTACCTGGGTTAGATCATTTGTCTAAATAAAAAATGTTCACTTTACTATAATACAGCATTCAAATTATAAGATTCCTCAGATTATTAAAAATTCCTAATAAATATAATTTGTAATGAAGGTATATCTTGTTGGGGTTCAACTGCTTTAAAAATGAAACGCTAGCATGTGAGTTTGCCTAATGAACTCTGCCTGCAATACCTTTTCATTTATTTCTACCAATTCTCCAAGTAACGAGATCTCTCTCAGGCCATTTTCTTGTTTTTGGTTTCCAGAGTTCCAATTTCTTCTTTTAACTTTCATTTTAGGTTCAAGGGTACACATGAAGGTTTGTTACATAGGTGAACTTGTGTCACAGGTATTAAGCCCATAACCAATAGTTACCTTTTCTGCTCCCAATTTTATTAAACCCCAAACCCACAAAACAAGTGCATAAAGTGCTCTTAATAATTCCCTGAAGAACAAGTAAAATACCTTAGATTAAGCCTTTAAAAATCACACTATTAGAGCTTGCAGAGATTCTAAATTATGATTCGTTGCTAATGATGCTCAATCTTTTTCTACTACACATTAGTCTGTTACCGGCATTCTGTCTGCAAACAGAGTGAAAACAAAGAAATGCACTCTTAGATTATTCCTGGGAGATCTGCTGTTAGATGAACCCAATTGTTTCTAATTAATTTTAACTATGAGGACCTCTCCCAAGTGCCGAACATTTCAAGCCATCTTTGAGAATGATTAGGTATCTCTCTCAAGGAAGAACAGATTTCCTGAGTATATTGAGCCATAATTATAGGCAAAAAAGAAAAACATCATTAATATGCCTTTCCCATTGTAGGAACTCAGATATCTGTCATGTTGAGAACAATATCACTTTTCTGCTTCTGAGAATATGTTGTAATTTTCAAACTAACCTGTATTTACTGTCATAATTGTTAAACCAGACTACCAAGATGATATGTTTATTAGCACACAGTATACTTGTTTAAAAAATGAAATTGAAAATAAACACTACACACCGAAATTATGGGAGATGTTTTCCTTTAATATCCAAGTTTTCTGTAATACAGTATGTCACTCTTGTATTTTTATATCATTTATATATTAGGATTTTTAAAATAAAGTCCCTACTTAAGGGCTTTTTTATTACAAAAAAAAAAAAAAAGAATCTGACAACATAGTTAGACCCTGTCTCTACAAAAAAAAATTTTTAATTGGCTGGGCAGAACGATGTATGTCTGTAGTCCCAGCTACTCAGGAGGCTGAAACGGGAGGATCCCTTGGGCCCACAGGTTGAGGCTGCAGTGAGCCTGATCATGCCACTGTACTCCAGCCTGAGTGACAGTGTGATCCTGTCTCAAAAACAAAAAACAAAACAAAAAAAAACCTTGCTAAACCAAAGCAAGAAAACTTCAGTATAAAGCTGAATTGCTAAAAGACTATTAAATATTCAAGTCATATCTCAGTAAAATAAAACCTTTACCCCAATAGTACTGTGAACACACAATTGTATCATCAAAATACTATCAAAGGCACTAGAGATTCAAGGCAAAAACCAAGGCTTATATCCTCAAGACGCTTACTGCTTAAGACAATGAAATAAACGGAAAAAAATAAAATAAAAAATACAAGGGAGTATTGGATATGCCAAACGTATAGTACATAGAGAAGTACAGTGAAACAGACAGGTTTTGAAGTCCTACAGACCTTGGTTCAAATCTTAGATCCACCACTTACCAGCTTGCTTACTATCTTCTCTAATTTGTAAAATATATCATTAATTTTTTTTTTTTTTTTTTTTAGAGACAGGGGTTTCACCATGTTGGTCAGGCTGGTCTCGAACTCCCGACCTCAAGTGATCTGCCTGCCTCAGCCTCACAAAGTGCTGCGATTACAGGTGTGAGCCACCATGCCTGGCCTAGATTCTAAGTGTAGTGAAATTCCTGGCATACAGTAATACCCAAAGGGAAGTTAACAGTATTATTGTTATTATTAGGGATATGGGCATAAGGAGGGAAAATTGACTATTGTCAAGTATTATATGCTTTTTTTCTGATCTATCACCATAATAAGCAAAAGTCAAGGTCTTTCTCACTCAGGTTTTATGTCTCATTGACAAAAAGTAAATGGAACATCTAGTAAAGACAACTAAATTGGAAAACATTAAGGTTGTAAAGCACTAAAGTACCCAGAGAAAATCCACTAAGTCTACAAATCATAGAACACTGCCTATAAAACAGGATGTTAATAGTTGGAAAGGTCCTTAGATCTGCTAATTCTAGTAGAAATAAGTTAAATATTTTGTCTCCAAGTTCAAACAATTAACTATTTTTGTCCATGAAAATATTAATTCCTAGCACATAGTGAATGCTCAGCAAATATCTGTTGAGTTAAGTTTAAAGTTAAGAAAACTGAGGCCTGGGTATTTAAACCAAACCCATAAAGTTAGCTGTTGCCAAAGCAGAACTAGAAATAATATTTTGGTACTCTAGTACTCTATCATCTCTAGAAGTTACAGTATAATAATTTAGATAATTTCTTTTGGTGGCTGGGGAGCTGAAGGGTTGGTTGGCAAGCTTGGAAAAAGGAAGGTAGGTATAAGCTACATTTTTCTTTTCTTTTTTTTTTTTTCAGACGGAGTCTCGCTCTGTCACCCAGGCTGTAGTGCAGTGGTGCAATACTAGCTCACTGCATCCTCCACCTCCCAGGTTCAAGCAGTTCTCTGCCTCAACCTCCCAAGTAGCTGGGATTACAGGCGCCCGCCACCATAATTTTTGTATTTTTAGTAGAGACAGGGTTTCACCATCTTGGCCAGGCTGGTCTTGAACTCCTGACCTCGTGATCCACCCACCTTGGCCTTCCAAAGTCCTGGGGATTACAGGCATGACCCACCAAGCCTAGCCACTAAAATACTTTTCACATTTTTCCCCCCAAACTGTTTTGCTTAATTGGTAAAGGCAAGAAATTATAAACAAGATAATCCCAGTACAGTGTCTAGCACATTATAGGTCCTTTTAAAATATTTGCTAAATGAAAACCATCATATGAACAGAGACAGAAACTAACTTCAGCATGTTAATCTCCATAACTGTCACAGAATCCTTTAGAGCTTTCAGTCATTCCTATAACAGTTATTAATTGCTTTCTTCCAGATAGATACTATGGAAGAAAGATGGATTAAAAGATGTCCCTGGCCTGAATGATCTCTCACTTGAGTATGCCTCTGTCTAAACATGTGTGCTGGGAGGATGGGAGGGATAGGGAAAACAGAGGATGACAAACGGATCAATAATGAATCTGAAACCAGGCTGCATTGTTATCTTAGTGAATTGGGCTCAAGCAGTTTTTAAAAATTAGAATTAAATTTAAAAATCACAAATTGCAAAGTTTTGAAATAAGGAGGCACGTTAGGGTATACCAACAACTGGAAATGTTTTCTTCCTGTGCCTTCATAATCCCTCTTACTACCTCTTCATGTTTGAAAATCAGAATATTCTGAATTTACTTATTTATCAATAAAAATTGGCCACCAATGTATATTCTTTCATATGTGAGGCACTGAAGGATAATAGCTACTACTGATTGAGTACTTACTGTGTCCGTACTTACTGTGTCCCCATTAATACCTATATAACCCAAGAACATATGTAAATTTTTTAAATGACCATAAAACTCACAGAGCCTGAAGTAATTCTCCAGAGATGAATGATAGTAAATAGAAGCTAAAAACATGGTATTACCCAGGGCGATAATAAAGTATGCACACAACTGAGAAGCAATTTTACGCAAGTCTTCAAGAGCACAAAATCTTCAAGAAGGGAAAACTCCTGCCAGAACTGGCCAACAGAGCCAGAAAACAACAGCCCACCAACAGGGATCTCGTTTAATGCAAGTCACTAACTAGACTCACAGAAAGTGAATACCTGAAAAAGTCAGTGCTGTCGTTGCTCAAATTTGAGTTTTGGGAGGACCCTTCCAAAGATACATAACCAAGACTAAACCACCACATTCCATGTTAAAGGGTTCTTCCCCGCTGTTATCTGCTTGTCAGAACAGGACAAACACCACTACCAAATAAACTGGGAAACAGACTTCCCTTATGACACTTAGAATTCCTGCAAACACGATTCGTTATTTTACATGAAGTATGTACGTGACTCCCGGTTTCTGAGAAGACATTTTTCTCTCTCTCTCTATCCTATAGTGCCAGGCAAAGCACCCCGAAGCCTCTTGATCCTAAACACAGAAAACTCTAGTGCCCAAATGTTTGCCCTATCCCAGCGCTAAAGCCTTAGAAGCACCAACGAATCTAGGCCAAGGAGAGTACAAGATGGCAGGGAGATACCACAAAGCAGGCAAGGAGGACTGGGTGCCACCAACCCCCCCCCACACACACACACACATCGGGAAGCACGCGCCACCAGCTCTGCAGAGAGCCGTCTGAGAAGGAGACGTGGGGGAAGTTTGGGTCAGAGGAGCAGGAAGGGATTGGCAGGTGTCTGTCACCTTATCATCCCGGACACCATGTTTACATTGTAATTGGCTTCTCTGCAGAGAGGGAGGGACCAGGTTCCCAGTGTGAGTAATGTTTAGAGGTTTTCTGAGAAGCACGAGGACTGGACTCTGACAGGAAGCAACGAGGCAAGAGGGAAGCTCGAGGACAAGTTTTGCTGAGGATTCCCTCAAGACAAGTGCTCCCCGGGCGGCCGTTCCTGACACCAAGACTGGCGGAGCCACCACACCCGTTAAGGGCATCCACCTGCACAGCAATCAAGCGGGCGCCTCTGGAGGGGAAGTGGAAGTGGAAGCAGACGTGGGTGGGAAAAGGCTGCATAGGGGGTCTGACCCAGAAGGAAACCTGATCAGGAGTGGGAGAGGCTGAACTGAGGAAGGGGCTGGCAGAGGGGGTAGATGGGTAGGATGAGACTTCTTTAGAGGCGAGGCTAGTAACTACATTAAACTGCTGGGAAGGAAGGGCTTTCGTCGGACTCCGGGAGAAAGGCAGATCTGGAGAGGAAAACCTGACTTGGGGGGCTGCGCGTCCGGCTCTGGAAGGCAACTACAACTGGGGGCGGCGCGCTGCCGGCCCAGCGAGCGAGCCTCGTGCGGCCCGGGGGTGCGGCCGGCCCGCGCGAGCTCAACGAGAGCTCACCTGGGGTGCGTGCGGCCCGAAGGGAAAAAACTTCCTGGGTGAGTGAAAGCTGCCCCGCGCGAGCCGGGTCACAGTCCGCTCGGTGGCGGAGCAAAGGGCGGCCGGAGTGGGCGACGGAGGCAGCGGGGGGCGGGGCAGGGGGCGCCCAACGACTCGGGGCGAGGTCGCGGCGGCCGCGCTGGGACTCCAGCTCGGGAGGGCGCCCTCCCGCAGTCGCACCCGCTCTCGCTCACACACGCCGGTCGCCAGGCCCGCTTAGCCTGGGTTGGCTAAGCTGAGGGCGGTGGGGGAGGGGGATACCGGCCGGCCAAGCCCGGCGGACAGGCGGGCGGCGTTACCTGTGTCAGAGAGAGCTGGGCCGCCGCAGCCATGGTGTTTCCATCATGCAAGGGAGGGGAAGGAAGGACGGGCAGACGAGGGCTCGGGGCGGGGAGGAGAGGAGGCGGGGGAAGCGGCTGTAGGCGAGGCCCAGGCGGGCGGGCGGGCGTCTCCCCTAACTTCCACAACTTCCCTCCTCACGCCCGCCCCGCCCCGCCTGGCCCCGCCCGCCTGCCCCCGCCCGCCTGCCGGCCCGCCGGCCCGCCCGCGCGAGCAGGCCGCGGCGCCGCCCAAACCTTGGCGCCGGAGTAACAGCCGCCGGACCAGAGCCTGCCCCCGGGTCCGCCTGGGAAAACCCGGCGCGGACCTTAAAGTAAAGCGGACGGGCTGCGGAGGCGACTCCAGATTGTCCTGTGAATTTCACCTACCTACGCTGAGCTCCTGCTTCTGAAAAATAGGGGAAATTTTAACCAGAGTCCAAGCTGCTTACGAGGGCTAAATGAGATAATGATAGAAAATAATAATGGCACTTTATATATGCCAGGCTCTGTACTAGACTCTTATATTTTTGAATTGCATTCATGAAGGAACTGAAACAAGTGCCTTACTAAGGTCATACAGCTAATTATATAGCTGGATTAGAATCCTAGTATTAGATTTAACTATCTGCTAGTATATTAGAAAAGAAGACATTAAGTCATTCCCTCCCACAGCCAAAATCCATTTGGAAAGGTATTTGCCTGGTGCCTGTCACACTTAGATTGTTTAACAAGGGAACGGTAGTGCCTGTAGCACTCTTACATCGTCCACTTGGCAGACTCCTCCTTTCTCAGGACATAATTAGTATCACCTACTTTGCAAAGTATCTTCTCTCCTTCTCATGTCAGAGTTACTTACACGGTCTCCTTTATAACCTTTCTTCTCTACTTTGTGAAGTCACCACCCTAATGACAGTTTACACCTATCTACCCCTCTAAATTAAGAGCTCCTCGATGGCAAGGTCTATTTTCAATATATTTCTATATTGTCAGACCCTGGAATTACAGTGCGTGCTTAATAAAGGCCTTCCTTCCTGCCTATGTTAAACATAACACATCCTACACCTTCTGATGCTGCCAACCTTCAGTTGGAATACCCAGTTACTTGAAATTCTCATCTTCAAAGGCTCAACATATATACCACCTACTTCAAGAAGCCTTCTAGGAACTCCACACCCCACCTCTAAGTTGTTCTGATATGACCTTTTTTATGCTCTGCCTTATTTGTAAGCGTTAGTTGAGGGCTTGTCTGCACCTCACTGCACTGTAAAATCCTTGAGGACAAGGGGCTGATTCACTACTATATCTACCTCACAGTTCAAACAGAGGCATCAATAAATGTATTTACCCAAATTGGTCTTAATTTCTCAGTCACGGTGGCTTCCCATGACAACAAACTGCAACTCTATCAGGCCCACACCCATTACCATTACCATAGCAGTCCCCATGGTAGGAGAGACAACTGAACAAGACCCAGGATGGAGTTAGCCCCTCCTAAGTTTTTAGACTATTGCCATCACAGGCAAATCATTCTAAAAATTTCTGCAGGAACTCCTAATTCTACTCAGACCCCTTTTGGCAAATGCCAGCTAACAAGAGCAAGCCATATAGGTCTGGTGAGTAACCACTTATTCAAGAGCATCTTCCTTGGCTTCTTTTTTTGCTGTTAATCATTACTTCACTTTGGTACATTTATCAGCCATAACCACACACAACTAATGTTTCTACTGGTGTTTTCTACTTTGCATTAGCATATTTGAGTTTCACAACTCTAAAAGGAAGTAATCATCATACTCACTTTACAAATGAGGTAATGCAGGGTCACAGAGGCTAAGTGATTTGCCCAGGGTTATACAACTAATAGCTAAAGCAGCTTAGTATAGTGAAATACATAGGGCTCAGACATTAGGAATGTCCAGGTTCCAGTCCTGGCTCTCCCATTCACTAGTTGTATGCCCTTAGGGTTACTGTGAGGATGAATGAGATAACAAATACGAAAGTGCCTAAAGTTGTAGCTACACAAATTATAAAATCTGAAAATCATGAAGCAAATTGCTTGTGGAAGTACAATTTCACTTGCTTATTCAAGGGGACTCCTCCAAACCATATGAGATGTAAGATATTCCTTTCAGATGAATAAGATGGAATCCCTGCTGTATAGTTTCCTGGAAAAGCAGTGCAGAGTAGGAAAGAGAATATAACCATTTAACCTATCTGAGCTTCTCTATCTCATATTTGAAAATTAGTAAATTAAAATATATTAATATTAATTATTAATATTAATATATAAAATATATTAATAAATATATTTACTAATTAATATTTACCAAAATTAGCAAATTAACATTTACTAATTTAGAGAAAATGTAAGGAATTATTATTGTTATAACTTTTATATGATCTATTTTAAGTCAAAAGTCATAACTTAGCCAGGCACAGCAGCACATGCCTATAGTCCTAGCTACACAGGAGACTGAGGCAGGAGCTCAGAGCACGAATTCAGCCTGGGCAACATAGAGAGACCCCATCTCTAATAAATAAATAATACCTTGTATGTATACAGTATTGCTTTTCACAATTTATAAATGTTTTTATTTTATGTTTTTCTTTTTTTTAAGACAGGGTCTCACTCTGTCGCCGAGGCTGACCTCTACCTCCTGGGTTCAAGAGATTCTCCTGCCTCAGCCTTCTAAGTAGCTAGGATTACAGGTGCCCGCCACCACACCAGCTAATTTTTATATATTTTTTTTCTAGTAGAGACAGGGTTTCACTGTGTTGGCCAGACTGGTCTCAAACTCCTGACATCAAGTGATCCACCTGCCTTGGCTTCCCAAAGTGCTGGACTACAGGCATGAGCCACCACACCCAGTCAAAAGCTTTTATTTGTAGAATCTAGCACAACCCCTAATGTTCACTAGGTACACTATAAAAGTTTGTCCAGTTGAACTGAACACAATCTCATATTTGCTTGTTATTTGTATCTTACCTTTATCCCCATAAGAAAATCAAGGAACAAATATTTTATAAGTAGCTTGTATAAGTAAGAGCCATCGACAGTAGATTTGGGTCTTGGTTAACAAAAAATAAAAAGAATCAGATGCCTCAGCAAGGGGACACTTGCTTAAAATATTTATATTGGAATTGCCCCATGCCTCTTCCAGACCACCAGTAATGTATAGTGACTTCCTTCTTCATTCTTAAGTTCTGGTTTAAATTAATGACATGTAATGGGAGATGGGAACATGTCTATAGGGAAGGGAGTAATTGGCCAAACTCCCAAAAAAGGCCTAGAACTTCTAAGACTTTTTTTTTTTTTTTTAATGACACACCAATGACAATTCGCAAATGTGTGTCCTAGATCTCATCAGAGCACTGGGTCATATCCCAAATCTATTTTAGGAGAGGAAAATGTAGCCAGTCGAAGATATGTTATAATCTAATTCATTACAACAAGAATGAGTTTCATGGAGCAGATAAAAATTGTTTTTTTCTAGGTCAACTTAATGTCTTTGGGTCACTAAGCCTCGTTTTCCTCATGAGTACATTGAAGACAATAATATCTACTTTGTATGGTTTAAGGATTAGCGCTCATGTATAATGGCCTATCAGAGAAACTGGCCTGGACTAGATGTTCAATAAGTAGTAGCTAAGTTGGTTTGACAGATTTATTAGTTCATGAATGGGGGTGCCAGATCAGATGAGGTGGTTCACACCTTTAATTCTAGCACTCTGAAAGGCCGAGGCAGGAGGATTGCATGAGCCCAAGAGTTCAAGACCAGCCTGGGCAACATAGTGAGACCTTGTCTCTAATTTTTTTTAATCAATCGATCAAATAAAAATAAATAAGAATGGGGGTGCCTTGAACAACTGACACATCCCTGTCATTTGAAAGGTAGGTGTTCCCTAGGTAAATAAAGTTGTATCTGATGACTAATAGTCCAAGGCATGGGGGCTCACACCTATAATCCCATCACTTTGGGAGACCAAGGCGGGTGGATCATCTGACGTCAGGAGTTCAAGACCAACCTGGTCAAGATGGTGAAACCCCATCTCTACTAAAAATACAAAAAAAATTAGCTGGGCATGGTGACAGGCCCCTGAAATCCCAGGTACTCAGAAGGCTGAGGCAGAGAATTACTTGAACCCAGGAAGCAGAGGTTGCAGTGAGCCAAGATCACACCACTGCACTCCAGCCTGGGCAACAGAGGGAGACTTCATCCCCAAAAAAAAAAAAAAAAAAAAAATCCGAATACTAATAACCAACAGTTGCTGCTTTCTTTCTGTTTTATTTATTTATTTATTTATTTTATTTGAGATAGTGTCTCACTGTGTTGCCCAGGCTGGTCTTGAACTCCTGGGATCAAGCCATCCTCCTGCCTCAGCCTCCCAAAGTGCTGAGATTATAGGTGTGAGCCACTGTACCCAGCCACATTGGTGCTTTCATGTGCATGATTTCATTTATTCCTCATAACAGATCTACAAGGATTATTTTTAGTCTTTTTTTTTTTAAACAGAAGAGGAATTTGTCCAAATTCATAATGGCAAGGCTGGGAATTATACACAGGTCTTCTGACTTAAATGCACTTTTTCCTAGGATGTGTTGCTGGTGTCCAGCAGACATTAATCACCCCCAAGTAGACCTGTTATAATGGTGCACTTGAACATGGGAAGCTGAAGATAAG